CTAGGATGGCAGTTATGCAAATGAGCAAGTCACCTGACACAGATCACAGAGGAGGAAGTCAGAGATAGCCACACCGTTACCATCTACGAGTAAAACGTCCTTTCAAACAGGACCAATGGTCATCAATTTTGTGTAAAAAGGTAAATCTCCATTTGTATTTGAAATAAACCCACTGACAATTATTTTTAAGATCTTCTGAGTTCGAGTATCATAGAAGTGTAAAAGCCCTAATTATTAGTATGCCTTCATCAACAGTTTTTACTATTTTTAGGTGACAGTGACATAACATAAAATCAGCCATTGTGAGTGAGTACTACAACGGCACGGGGTACATTCACGGTGTTGTGCGACCCACTCTATCAGGTTCAAATACATTTTCCTCACCACAAAAGGATGCGTCAACCCACTAAGCAGTGCCCCCCACAACCTGCTTTCAGTTCCAGTAATCTACCTGTTCCCATACTTCACACAGATGACGTCGTACAGTCCGTGACCCTTTGTGTCTGATTTCTCTCACACGGCTTTTTCGAGGTTCACTCACGTTGTATCAGTATTAATTTTTACGGTTGAATGATACTCCAACGTGAGAAAACGGTACAATTTGTTTATCCACTCACGCGCCGATGGACATTTGGGTTGTTCTCCCCTACTGGCGATTATAAAGGGCGCTGCATGAACGTGGCTGCATGTGTATTTGCTCGAGTGCCTGTTTTCAATTCTACAGGCATTTGGGAACATCCGAATTTCTCCTTCACTTGTGAATGGGACACACAATTCTTGGTTGACAGTTTTTTCTTTTGTCATTTTAAAAACGTCATCCACCTCCTGTCCTCCACAGGCTCTTACTCTAGAGGCCTTGTGTGTGACAAGCTGTCTCTCCCTTGCTGCTTTCAGAACATTCTCTTTGTCCTCGGGTTTGAACTGTCTGATTACAACGTCTCGGTGTGGATTCTCTGCGTTTGTCCTTCTAGGGATTCACGGAATTTCCTGAACGTGTAGATTCATGTCTCTTAACAAATCTGGGAAGTTAACGGCCATTATTCCTTCAAACTTTCTCTCCACCCTCTCCCTCTACGACTCCCACGACTCCCAATGCACGCACATTAGCGCATTTAGTGCTGCCCCCAAGTCTCTACTTAACTTTCCTCATTCTTCTTTCCACATCTCAGAATGGATCATCTCACGTGATCTAGGTTCAGGGTCAGGGATTCTTTCTCCCGGCCACTTAAATTTGCCACTGAAACTCTCGAGTGAGTTCTTCTTGCAATTTATTATAATTTTTGGCACCAGAATCTCTCTTGGCTTCCTTTTTATCATTTCTATACCTTTACTGATCTTCTGTTTAATACAGTACATTGTTCTCCTGATGTCTCTTAACATTTTTCAGTTTAGCTTTAGCTCCGTGAGCATACTTATGGCAGGTGAGTTAGATTTTTGTCCAGTAAGTCCAGAATCTGGGCCTCCTCAGGGACAGCTTCTGTTCCTTTCTTCTATGACTGGGCCACATGGTTTCTCCGCATGCTTCATAATTTCCTGTGGAAACCTGTACATTTTGACTATTATAATCTGGTAACTCGGGAAATCAGTCACGTCCTCCTCTTCTGGGTTCCTTTTGTTGCTCAGTATATGCTGTAGCCGTGCACGTTTAGTGACTTTTCTAGAACTGTTTTGTAAAGTGTGTATTCCTCGTCATGTGTGGTCTGTGAAGTCTTTCAGTCAGTGTTTTGAAAAAGATTTCCCTGCAAGGGGAGGGGGTGAGATTAAGAAAGAAAAGGAGGGATGATGGAGGGAAGAAGGAATGAGAGGGGGAGGAAGAAAGGGAGGAAGGGTGAAGGACAGGAGACAAGGAGAGGGAGGGAGGGAGGAAGAGAGGAAAGGAGGGAGGGAGAGAGGGAGGGAAGGAGGGAGGGAGGGAGAGAGGAAGGGAGGGAAGGAGGGAGAGAGGAAAGGAGGGAGGGAGGGAGGGAGGGAGGGAAGGAGCGAACAGTCTCTCCCAGCCTTGGCAGGCTGGCTGTCCCGGGGCACCCGGCACTCGGCAAGCTGTCTACAACTCTGCCTGAGACCTCACCTCTGCTTGCAGTGAGCCTAGAGACTGGCTAGAGGCAAAACACTTTCTTGGGGTCTTTTCTGAGCATGATTCAGTGCCGGCCTTGGATGTGGCTTTCAAAACTCTCCTGTCAACACACGCACTTCTGAAGGCCCCGATTTTCCAAAGAATCCTGTCTCCAGCTCCTTCTAGCGGGCACTCAACACTCTCTTCACTGTGTCAGCTATCACCTATCGCCCCCCAGCCACTGCTGCTGACACAGGCTTCCGAAATGCCGACTGTTTTTTTGGCTCTTCTGCCCTGAGTGACATCCAATCAGAGGAAGAGAGACAACCGTCTTGACTCGGTCCTTCAAGTGGCCCTGCCAGGCTGGACAGACACAATTCTCGCAAGTGCGTGCCGCTCCACTACCTTCAGAGCCACGGCCTGGAGTCCCAAACTGAGAATGTGGGCTGCTCTCACTGAGGCAAGTGCTCGCCCCTTCACTGCTTCTACGCTCAGGAGGGCAGGCAGGTCTGCCGACTGATGGTTCACAGATATCACCATGCCATTTAGTTTTGAATGATACAATTAATACACGGAAACAAATCTCTACTCATTCCAAATATCACAATGAAAACAATTTAAAAACTAAGCCGGGACCTATACTATATTCCAAAAAAGACACATCAAAGGTACACCTAATTTACCTGGCCACTCTGGGGATTCCTTTTTTCCAAAACTTCACCTCTTCTCTACAACACACCTTTCCTCCACCATGCCATTACTTCATACATCAAAACTCTTCACTAGTTAACCGTTCAATTTAATCGCAAGAGTATAGTCTTTTCAAAAATGGCACTGGGACAACTGGATACTCACACACAAAGGAATGTGGCCCCATGTCATACACCCACACAAACTACAGAATGAAAACGGATCACACATCTGAGCGTCAGAGCTAAAAGCATAAAACCCCTGGAAGAAGATATAGAAGTAAACCTTTGCAACCCTGGGTTGACAAACTGTTCCTTAGATACATCACGACGGCACAAGCAATAAAAGAAAACACAGACGAGCAGCACTTCATCAACATGAAAACTGTCGTGCGTCAGAAGACACCAAGAAAAAGAAAACACAAGCCACCGAACGAGACAAAATATGTCCAAATCACAGAATGACAAGAGACTTAAATCCAGAATATATAGAGTTCTCCCAAGTCAATAAATGCAAAAAAAAGAACCCAGTTCCAACAGTAAGCAAAGAATCTGAAAAAACACGTCTCCAAAGGAGACATACAAACGCCCAATAAGCAGATGAAAAGACGCTCAACGTCATGAGTCACCAGAGAAACACAAGTCAAAACCACAACGAGCTACCACTTCACGCCCAACAGGACGGCTGCAACAAAAAGACAGAGGCTAACAGGTGCCGGCGAAGACGCAGAGAGACTGGACCACTCACACGCTGCTGGTGACAAAGCAAACCAGCAGCTGGTTTGGCCAACTGGCAAGGCCGATCAGAAGAGTAGTCTGCAGTTTCTCAAAAACGTGGTTACCATATAATCCAGCAATTTCACTCGTGGTTGGTATGCTCACAGAAGAAGTAACATCACGTTTGTACAGAAAAACCGCACGCAGACATTTGCAGCAGCATTCTTTATAGTCGCCTGAAGTGGAAACAACGCAAATGTCCACCCACTACTGAATGGGAAGCAAACACGGCATGCCACAGAGAGGAGGAGCCCTGGGCAACGAAAAGAAAAAGAGCGCTGCCAGGCGCCACGCCAGCGATGAACTGATGACCCGTGACCACAGGACGCCGGGGAAAGAGGCCTGTGACACCAGCCCACACGCTACAGGCTTCCGGACACCTGCTCCTCGGGGGCAAACCCATGGAGACAGAAAGCAGGCCGGGGGACGGACCCGGGGCTGGAGGAGGGGCAGGAGGGACAAGAATGGGATGACGGCTAACATATTCAGAGTTTCTTTCTAGAACGTCAAGACCGTTCCAAAAGTAGACGGCAGTGATGCTTCCACAACTCTGTGAACAGACCCAAGCCACCGAACCGCACACTTTCAACGGATAAACTTTACGTTACACGAGATCTGTCCAAATAAGCTATACAAATATTTTTTTGGAGAATTATTTCAAATAAATAATTCAACGTACAAATGTCCCCACGTAATCAGAAGGTACAAACTCCACTCTAAACCTCATCTTTGAAACAGGCTTTGAAGTTATTATGAATACGTGTTTAGTTTTTCGGTGCCTTCCTTCATTGTCCCTCATTGATGCGATCACTGTCTTGGTGTCACTGTCACTTTTTGACAGGCGTAATGCCCACCCACAAATACTTTCCCCACACTCTTCCCAATACATCGCTGCTTTTCCACTGAGACTGAGAGACCAAATAAACAAACTCTTTAAAAACATAAATTAAGCAAGGGTTAAAAGCCCTGAACGAAGTTAAGGAGAAATGGGCATAAAGTAGTCCCACTTTGGATCATGACATGAACTGTAGGTGCTCCGAGACCTTGCACTTAAACAGTTTAAGGCCCTGATACTAATTGTCTAACCCTACGACTGTGTTGAAAATCTGACACAAACAGAGACATAAAATTATGTCCTGCACCAGCTGGGTTTCACACGTGTCTACGTGCACACCCCTCATACACAAACCGTGACAGAGCGCACCACACGACCAGTTCTCTGTGCGCGTGTGCACATGTGTGTTTAAGTGTGTACATGTTTATACTCATACACACACATCCCAGCATCTGGAGAATGAATAAAAAATCTACCTTGAATTTGTAGGCATTACGTTATCGTAAGAAAATTAATTAGATACCATATGTATTGCATAATACTATTTTCGGTAACAGAATTATGACGTTTTCTTTCATTTATGTTAACTCTGACGTGATGGCTACATTAAGCAAATGATAAACTAAATCAAAAGTGTCTTGCTGACCTCTTACTGTGAGCTTGCTGTAGAGCTGTGAATTTACTTCCTTGTCTCGCTGAAAACGCCGAAATTCATCAATTGCTTCCCTCATGATGGTAACAGCCAAAACGAATCCCTATGAGACAAAATAAAATCAGATATTTGAGAAAACTGGATTATAAATAACAAAACAGTAACAAAAAGTTTTACTCCCCACCCCCCCACCCGCCAATTTGTTACTTTTAAAACATAAATGAAAACAAAGACAAAAAGGAACAATGAAACACCACTAAAAATATATAATATATAAGATTTACGATTCTATCAGCCAAAAAATTTTTTTAAATTCGTATCATAGCTTGTACTTCAAGCCAAACATCAGAAAGGACTTAGTAACCTAAAAATAAGGAAACCAACAATCTTCAAAAACCCCATGAATTATATTCAGAACATGCAAGCATTCAAGTTCAAATTAACAAAGACTGACACCAAAATCACACATTTCCTATACTTCTCTTTCTGGTAGAATGAAATGCGTAGCAACAGGAAGCTATCCCAGCACGACAAGTTTCTCCCCATGGCAGCGTCTACAGACACACGTGGGGCACAGGCACAGCCACCACGCTTTTTTTTCTTCACTTTTTTAAAAAATATTTTTATTTATCTTTTTTATTTTGGGGGGGGAGGGAGAGAGAGAAAGACAGCATGAGCAGGGGAGGGGCAGAAAGAGGGAGAGAGAGAGGATCCCAAGAAGACTCCACACTACCAGCGCAGGGCCCGATGTGGGGCTCGAACCCACAAACCATGAGATCCCGACCTGAGCCGAAATCAAGAGTCGGACGTTCAACCGACTGAGCCACCCAGGCGCCCCTACTTCCTCACTTTTTAAGTAAAAACCTGGACCGATTAACTTGATGTTATCTAAATAAAACTTTCTTCAAAGTGTATTTATTTATTTTGAGAGAAATAGAGAGCACGGGAGTGGGGGAGGTGCAGAGAGAGAGGGAGAAGCCCAAGCAGGCTCCGTGCCGTCAGCGCAGAGCCCAACGTGGGGCTCGAACTCACAAACTGTGAGGTCATGACGCGAGCCGAAGTCAAGAGCCAGATGCTTAACCAACTGAGCCACCCAGGCGCCCCTACAGAATACCTATGTACTTGGAATCTATTGTGAAATCTATTACACCGCTAACGTGGCTGGAGTCATTTTCAAAGGCTACTTGGGTGTTTTCTGACACATTACACGGCTACTCTTCAAGTCAACCTCTCTCGGACCACACTGTCCAGTAGGCTTCGTTTGACTGATGAGCATCCCCCCGTCTACTGTGAAAATGGCCAAGGCAAGGCCGGGCAACTCCACTTAGGGGACAGCAACCTGTTATCCCAGGGCTGTTTTTGTGTCGCCGACAGGCTACAGCACGTGGGCCCCTGGAACCCATGGTCCTTGTGTTTACTGAAACACGGCCGTCCCCGGCGCATTCAGAGTTGTGCCACCATCAACACCATCTGACTTTCATCACCCCAAAGAGAAAGCTCACCCCCCTTTCCCATCTCCCCTGCTCCCAGCCCCCTGCAACCATAGTGCCTCTTCCGGGTGACACGGTACGGCTGGCATTTTCACAAGCTGCCAAACTGCTTTCCCAAGTGCTTGTACCACTTGACATGAGCTTTCTGGCCATATACACGTTCTCTTGGGATAAACGTTATTCAGATCCTACGCCCACTTTTTACCTGTGTCATTCGTCTTTTCACGCGAAGTTGTAAGAGCTCTTCATGTGATTCTGGATATAAATACCTTGTTAGAGATATGATTTACAAGCGTGAGGTTACACTTTCCAGGTTGTATTGTTTCACTTTCTTGATAGCGTCCTCTGATGCACTCAAGTTTTTAATTTTCATGATGTCCAATTTAAATGGTTTCTTTGGTCACCTGGGCTTTTAGCGTCCAAGATCCCAAAACTCCACCTCTGTTTTCTTCCAGGAGTCTTACTGGGTTCAGCTCTTCCAGTTAAGTCCGTAACCCATTCTCGGTTACATTCTGTGTGTGACAGGAGGCAGGGTCCAAATTCATTCTTTGGCTCTGTCTCCACTGACCTGTCTTAGCACCCTTGCCAAAAATCAAGTTGTCCTAAGCGTCAAGGTTTGTTTCTGGACTCGGCGTGTATCCCGTGATCTATCCTTCAGCTGGTACCACACCTTCTTGATGACTATAGCTTCAAAGTAAGTTTGGAATGGGAGGCAGGAGTCCTCCAATACTGATCTACTTTCTAGGACGCACTGGCTACTCTGCGTCTCTTGTATTTCCATATGAATTTTAGGATCGGTTTGTCAATTTCTGCCAAAAAAGCTACGTGGGATTCCCACAGGGATTGTACCGAATCTACAGATCAATTCGGAGAGTGCTATCATTACAATAATATCAAGTCTTTCAATTCTTGAACATGGGATGACTTCTATCTATTTAGATCTTTAATTTTTTCAAAAACGTTTTAAGTTTTCAGTATGAAATCTTGCATTTTAGCTAAATCTATTTCTCCTTTCTGATGCTTTTATAAATGAAATTACTACACTAATTTCATTTTCAGGTGGTCACTGCTAGTACAGAAAAATATAAGTGCTTTTTGTGTATCTATCTTATACCCCGTAGCCTCACTAACTCATTTACCAGCCCCAGCAAGTCTGTGTGTGTACTCCCCAGACTTGCCTACACACCAGGTCATGCCACTTGTCAACAGAGACAGCTTTTCTCTTTCTTTTCCATCTAAATGTCTTTTAGCACATAGAAGACAAAAAAAAAATATGAAAATCCAAAACAGGAAATACCAAAAATACTTTAAAAAAATTTAGTGTTATCAAAAGCCTTAAAATTTATACACACTTTAACCAAACAGTTCCACGTCTAGAAAGTTATCCTAAAAAACAAAAACAAAAAAAAAACCAAGGATCCCGGCATCAAATATAAGAAACTGGAAATAACCTAAATGTCCACAAATAAGAAATTCCTGGTACACTCGTACGATGAAATACCGTATTTCCTTAACTCAAAGATGCCGTTAGTCTCGGGTGAGAAGACAATACCACTTTAAATACACAAATTCTAAGTCACAACTCATTGTCAGTAACGTGAAAAACACGCATCTACCCATCCGGGAAAGACAGTTCCGTGAGCCATTCTCACATAGAGAGCATTTACTATTAGGACTCACGTTCACCACGTAGAATTCCGTAAAACTGTGTTTGTGACTGACCCATCCCGAGAGGTAAGAGGAGAATGGTTGTCAAGCACGTTACTTACACACTGAAGACGGTACCGTTAAAGGAGAGGGTCAATCAGGCGAGCGCATGGCCATCACCTGGAAGGTGTTCTGCTCAAGCCCCACCTGAAGAGGGTGCCTTCACCTCTCCTCTGTGAGGCGCAGGTCCCAGATGTGTGTATGTCATCTAAACTGTGCAGGTGGATCTAACTTTCACCCTGTAACCCTATGGCTTAAAGACAGCAAAAGTGAATTCTCCATTCATCAAGGAACTTTAAGCCACAAAACGTAAGAGTTCCCAGTGCTTCCAGGAACTCGATAAGTGAAAGTAGGCTTCTACTTCAAAGCAGTAACATTAGAGAAGATGCGACAGAGGGTCGGGTCCCAACTTGTAAAACAGGAGGTGAGCGCTCTTGGGAGGAAACAGAGCCCCGAAGACCGCTGGTGCACACGAGCAGCTCGCAGCCACGCTCCAAACCTAAGGTTTCCCCGAACACGTAACAGATGTGGAGGCCACTCCCGTGCCACCACGTCCGTCTCCGGCTTATCTATCCTGAGAAAAACCCCAAAAGCCAGCCTCAGAACATAAAGCAGATTCCAAGAAAGGCACAGCTGAGGCCAGGGTTTCCTTTACAGGCACGGGAGTCTACGACCCACGGACCTCCACCTGCAGAGTTTACATCCACTGAGTCTTAACTGGGTCACTGCAGACTGACGGCCTACAGAAGATGTGGGTAAGTAAGTCTTCCCACAGGAGGGGCCGGGCCTTCCCGCGACCTCAGCACCGACCACGTCCGAGACCGAAGCTACGGTACCGCTACTGGAAAACCCAGACTGGACGCAAGGGGGTGACAGTACTTCAGTGACACGACAGTATTTGAGGTCAGCCTGTTAATCAGAACGGATGACGGGAATGTCTCACGTGGCCGGTCCACAGGCCATGACTAAATCTCGTTTCATAAGGTGGACTTCTTTTTTCCTACTTCGCCAGACGACCCAGGAGTCACGTAAAGTAACTGCCAAAATAATATGCATTTTTATCAAAAGACAAAAAATTCTATTGCTATAATACCAGTTTAAACTTGAGGGATTCTTATATACCAGAAGCTTTTTATTTTAAGTTTATTTACTTTGAGGGACAGAGAGAGAGCGCGAGCACGAGCAGGGGAGGGGCAGAGAGAGGGGGAGAGAGAGAATCCCAAGCAGGCTCCACACCGTCAGCACAGAGCCTGACGTGGGGCTCGAATCCATGAACCGTGAGATCATGACCTGAGCAGAAGTCAGAAGCTTAGCTGACTGAGCCACCCAGGAGTCCCCAGAAACTATTTTATGGGGTTTTTAAAATTTTTTTGAATGTTCATTTATTTTTGACAGAGAGAGAGCACGAGTAGGGGAAGGACAGAGAGAGGGAGACACAGAATCCAAAGCAGGCTCCAGGCTCCGAGCTGTCAGCCCAGAGCCCGACGCGGGGCTCGAACCCACGAACCATAAGACCGTGACCTGAGCCGAAGTCGGACGCGTAGCCGACTGAGCCCCCAGGCGCCCAAATTTTTCTATGTTTCTTGAATGAGTCAACTTTTAAATGCCACCAAAACCTAATGAGCAATAATTCAGACAGGGAAACTGAGGCACAAGGAGTGCAAGTACTTCTGCGAGAGTGGCTGTCCCTGGGCAGCATGCGATAGGAGTCCCAGTGAGTGATGTCCTCTCTCCTTTCCGTACTCCACCCACACCAGCGAAGCACAGAGACACTCAGGAAAGGAGTGGACAGAGGGAAGGACTGGAGAATCATACTGAAAGTCAGAGTCTCTTGCAAACGCCCTGGTCACCCTGGAAGTTACGTGTTAACGAACTTCCAGGACCACATCTTATATGGAAAAGGTAGCATCACCAACCCAGACTTCCTCTAAGAATCGTCTGCATGGGCAGGTCTATCCCACCCCATTCATTCCGACAGAAGCACCGCGATCCGTTTTGGTACTCTGGTTACACTAGCTGTCCCTCAAAGAGCTGTTCCCAAGGCTGAATGATACGAAAGGTAACCCTCATTCCGACACAAGAATGTAATAATGAAATCAATTATTTGACTCTTCTGTCATATGGCAAGATATAACAGAAAGGAGATCAGAGCTGAAGTAAACAATACCGCCAGGAATAACTGACAAAAACGATTACGAAGCTATCAGTGTTTTCAGAAACACCCTTTAGCTGGAGAACAGAAGGAAGGAATCAGAAGTTGCCTGCTGCGGGAGACTGAAGATTTTATAACCACCGGCCGGATGACGGGTTTACGCTGGATTGGCGGGTTTCTGTCAGGGAGGAATCTGGAGATGCCGAGCCCTTTTTCTGAGCAAGAAACCTCAGAAGGTTCTGCCTTACAGAACCTCACAAGGCAAGCAGAGAAAAGGCAGTGCGACGTGAGTGCGTACGAAGGCCACGCGCCAGGGCAGGCCCCCCAGGACGGGGTGGACGGGCGGCTCGAGAAACAGGAGGAACTCAGGAGCTGTGAGAATCCTGCTGCAGAATACTTCCTTTACTTTAAAACAAAACAAAAAACAGTATGTGGTCTGGATACAGATTTAGTGTAAATTTGCCGCGACTAATAAAAAAGATCTTCTCTGTGTGGTATCTGAATTTTCAGTTTCCAAAAAACGTTTCAGAGGGGAGCTTGGATCAAAGAACCAGTCTACCTAAGCCTGCTTCTGGGATTTGAAGGCGAGCCTGATGCACACATCAACTTTTTAAGACCTTTGCTAAATCAGAGGTTAAAACGTGCACGACAAGCACAAGCACAGACTCACAAGTCCTTACTGATCACACGACCAGAGGCACCAACCGTGGCTGCCACCGGGGCAGGGAAGGGCAGGGCGCGGATTCCTAAGCAGGCCAGCTGGAGGTCCACCGGGGCGTGGGGACAGGGGCGCGGGGAACGGCCGGCAAGTCCCGAGGAAGCATGAAGCGCAACTCAAACGGGAGAAGAGGGCTTTTCACTTTTCCGCGGGGCCCCTGAGCCTCTGCTCAGCGTCCCTTCTAGGAGTACTGAGCCAGGTGCCTACCGGGGCACTTCTCTGTGCACGGCGAAGTGAATTCCCACACGCCAAGTGCTTCAAACACCTGCGGCTGACAGGACAGGTCAGGTTGGCGGACGTAAACTTCACACGGACAGAGGAAGGGGCGGCTCTGGCCGACACAGCCAATTCTGCGCACACTGAAAAGCAAGTCCTCGTTAGGAATCCACCTGCAACGAACATTCTCCTTGGTTACGAGCCACTTAAGTCACAGCCATGAGGAAAAGACACAAAAGCAAAACAAACGAACGCTCTGTACGTCAGAGTTTTAAGAGGGTCCCGTGTCCTCAGACAATCAGCACTAATGGACACTTCAGGCCGAGCTGGCGGTGACACTGGAGGGGTGAGAGCACCCTGCGAAGCCACGGGTAGGAAGAGGGGCCAAAAATAAACACCCTGAGATCATAAGTACACTTGATCTACGCTTTCACTGGAAAATGGGAAAACTAAGCAGGGCTTAGGCAATGAGACTCCCAGGACGCACAGGGAACAACGTACAATCAGACCGATCGTCACAGCCGAGTCTGTTAACTGTGAAAAATCAGAAAGAAACTGAAAGTCTCCTTCCCTGGGAAGATGCACAAATCGACTGTGTATATATTCAACGGAACACTTCCGAGAAGCGAAGAGTACGTGAACTAGACCTGTACGTGTCAGGGATCCGTTTTATAAAACAATGTTAAGTCAAAACGCATGTTGCAAAAGGGTACACGGACTAAGGTAATCTTTATGCAAACTTTTCAGAGCATGCAAACAATACGATTTCAGGGAGACAAACATAAGTAGTACAATTACTGGGAGACGCTTAACAACTGAATCTCAAATGCAAACAGAAGTTGCCTGCAGGGGAAGGAAGGTGAGCAGGGGGAAAAGAAGAGAAAGGCCCCCTCCGTCGCCTCTCCACAGCCACCTGGCTTGAACACCAACTCTGAGCACTGAGGGCTGAGCTTCGGTGTCGCCCGTGTGCTACGCGACACCCACACAGTCACGGGGCTCCCTCTCCCGCTCAGGATCAAGTGCGAGCACCCTGACTTCCCTTACAAGCACCGTCCCACGTCCCCACGCTCCAGCGGCACCCCCAGCATCCTGGCCCGAGAGTTTCCGCAACCGTGGCTCCCCGGGCCTGCGCCTCTCTCTTCCCTGACCAGTGCGTGGCCCGGGCTCTCAGAAATCCAGATGTCATCCCAATGCCACCCCTCACAGGGGCCTAACTTAGATAATCCCGGCATCTTCCAACCCCACTGATTTCCTGAGTGCACCGTACTGACTCCGTGATCGTTCTGTACTACAAACACCATTACTGTCTCTGCTCAAACCTGCGCTCCTCTGAAGTCTGTGTGGGTGCACAGGAGGAGGGGCTGACTCCAGCGACCCTGCCAACGAGACTTCTGTCCCCTCTGCCAGTCGCCCTGGCGCATCTGAGACCGGCTGTGAGAGGCGGCAGAACTGCGCAGCCCGGAGAAATGAACTCCAGAGCACGCCGCTCACGTCCCGGCTCCGAGAGGAGCACTTCGGCAGGTAAGTGAGCACTGCGCTGGCTCCTTCCCTAAAGGAGGAGTTTCACTACGTTGTCTTGACTGGATTATGCTGACAATCTGCCCAAAAGGGAGCAGTCCAAAGGAAGCAGTCCATTTTTCTAGGTGCAAGGAAGAAAGAAGGCATTCGTATTGTCTACATAAGCTGAAAACTGATGAAAATTATCAGCAAACAGCATCAAACTATCCCAGCGGCATTATGGTGGAAATGGAAGTATTCGATGAGAAGTATCATTTGCCTTTCCAAAACTTTTATGCACTGAGGGGTCAAGCAGAAGTGGTCCGGACTTCACTGAGATACTTCAGCCAAAAGTAAGAACCGCCCATCTGTCAGGATAAGAGGGTCGCTGAGCAGATTACACCCTGGTTCCAGAAAGTGCCATCAGCACAGGGGAGAGACCGACCCGTTATCGCAGCCTCAGTACAGAACGCGCCATGGAAACCACCCCACCCCCCCCCCGCCCCCCACCAGCAGGGGTGCCTAGCGGCCTCTCCAGACGACACCCGGAGCAGTGCACCACCCGGACACTCCTGCAGGGCTGCCTGGCACACATGTGACCGAGCTCTGTAAAATCTTTCACGGAAGTTCACAGATACACGGCAACAATATCACGTTTCTTAAAATCTGATCAGTTTCTCTCTCAATCATCTCCACTCTTAAAACCATATTCTAAATAATCATTTAACTTAATTTCAAAAATCTTTTCTTTTACCAGAGGAGCCCAGTAGGTGTAGAGATAGCCTATTTTCAATGCTGGTACAAACTGCGAGCAGGATACTACCAGAAAATAGAGATTCAAGAAAAACTTGAATTGTTCATACAAAACCTAAAAAGGAAAAAGAAAAAATTAACACAGTCTCTCCAAGGAAAATCTTTAATACTTCAATCAAATAATTAAATCGGCACAATATCTAACTACATCTCCATCAAACATTGAGAATATGCCCTGAGTTACAGTAAATTTCTTAATTTTGGCACTGGCTTTCCAATAACCAAATCACATACAAAGCGAGGTAAGGTTACCTCAAAATTATATCTAAAATAAATTGAAAAAAAGACAATTAGAACTTTCAACTATGTTAAAAGCATCCTCTAAAAGTTTTGATTTTCCAGTTTTCCACACTGACCTACATATAAATATCTTTGTACGTACAGCAAAGCAAATGAGATAGCAAGTCCTTTCCAGTGTTGGTGGTCGATCAATATATATTTATATACACACAAATGTGTATCTTGATAACTCAGAAAATCTTACAATGGGAAAGTCGTGTTAACCTTGTATTTATGCAATGGTAAAAAATAAAACACGACAGCCACGTTTCTGAACACGAACGTCAGGGCAGTTTCACAAAAGCTAAGTGAACAGGCAGAGAGTGCACACAACGTGACTTCACAAAACCGCCTCCGCCTCCTGTAAATATCTGCTTCTCGCAGACGGTAAGAGACGATGACATATAAAAGAATGTGAATTCCAAAGCAATTTTGGAGACAGATGCCTACGTATTTTTTACAGACTCTTAGCAGTGAACCTGCAACAAGAGCTTCAAATATAAAATAAATATCATTCAACAAAATGTTAGGAAGGCAAATCCTGCAACTTTCTGTTTTTGTTTTTTAATTGAAATAGAGTTGTCTTTAAGGAAGAAAACCCAAGATCCGGTATATTACTACACTTCTATTTACAAATTCTCAAACTATTAAATTGAAATTGAAAACGAAAATGGAAGAAACCTCGTGTTTACAGACGAGAATAACTCAAACAGCAGTTGTAACCGCAATTAAACTTCCATCCTTGCAACTTGCAGTCAAAATCTCCTTGGATACCATTTTTTATGCAACTCGAAGGTAGGAAAATTTCAACCAGAGCAGAGCAGTGGGTTAAGTACTTACTGTTGACTTAAAGAGTCCGGAACCACGGTTTCACGTAATGAAGTTTTCTACATCGACACACAGTTGCTTGTGCAACTAAAGCATCGGCTGCATTGATAACATGTTTATATTCATAATCATATTCAATTGCTGTCTAAAAATGTTTTCAGTCATTTCATAAATTAATCTCAGCAGGAGAGAAAGCTCTTTTTCCTCAGTGATTTCTTTAAAATCTCTGTTAGCATAAATTATATCTATTAGCAATTCAAAAATTGCCATTTGGTGCTAAAAATGGCATTGAATTCCTACTGTGCAATTACCAAATGTTTCTAAAATACTACGTTTTAGATGAAAAGCCTAATTTAAGAGACAATCTAAGGAAAAAAATTCACACGGTAATACTTGCGCAGACAACCCATCAACAGGTATTTTCAGGACACAGCCAATCTTGGCAGGCTGTGTGGATTTACTCTGGTCAAAATTAAGCTGCACTGTTGGCTTTAAGCCACTGTAATCAATACTTTCTTGTCTACTGAATGAACTTTGTGACCTTTAGGAAAATGTGCAATGCTTAGCCAATCCGCGAGTATTTAATAATTTAAAATTAAAAAGAAAGCAGCAGCTTCAATCAATGCAGATGAGAGTATTTATCTGCCTGAAAGACAGTTTACATTTTATATCCTGACAAAAGAGCAGTCTTTCAATTACGGAGCCAACGGTTTTGTGTGTTTTAATAAAGAGCAAATTAGATATCAAGCATTCACCAACTATTAGATGGATGGGGAAGGGTGGTGGGAGGTAATCAATGCCCAACATAAAATCGGCATGATTATTTACATAAAAACATGAAAAATAAGACAGCTCTTATTTCACAAAACCAAGAGACTTTCTTGCAAAATAGCATAAAGCTAATAACTAGAACATGTCAAAAACTTTGATCTAGAAACATAATCAGTAGTAGCTGCCTTTTGCCTGTAGAAAGATGAATAAATTCGTCTATTAAAATAGGAAATGATGCACAGAAATCAAAAATTATCCAATCATTCTAAATACGTACAGACTGAGTTTGTACGTATTTAAGACAAAAATATCACCAGCAATAAAAAAAAAATTAATCAAATATTTAAACCTCAATATTTATACTCAGCATAATACCTATTTAAGATAACGAATAATACAATAATACATGGCCTGAAATTCATAATGTTTGAAGTAGAAAATCCATCTATAAATGCTTACAGAGATTCTGTTACGGAGTCCTGTCTGTGTAAGCACTTATGTTACTCTCATTTGGAGGCTCCTACGCAGGCTTTACACTTGGCATTCAGCTTCACTTCCAAACAAAACTTACAGCTCTTTTCTGATAATTTAATTCAGGCCTACTTGGTTATTTCTACAGTAGCATAAATATTTTTATCTAAGGCTGAAGTCCAACTATAAACTTTCTCTTTTCTTAATTTTTTTTTTTTTAATGTTTATTTTTGAGACAGAGAGAGACAGAGCATGAACAGGAGAGGGTCAGAGAGAGAGGGAGACACAGAATCCAAAACAGGCTCCAGGCTCCGAGCTGTCAGCACAGAGCCCGACGCGGGGCTCGAACTCACGGACCGCGAGATCATGACCTGAGCCGAAGTCGGCCGCTTAACCGACTGAGCCACCCAGGCGCCCCAAACTATAAACTTTCTTAAGTTGAACTCTATGCGGTACCCGTAAAAGTGTGCATGAATTATTTAACAATCATCTGAAACGTGAATGGTTCAAAAACAAAGGGACACTGATTTGGACGGGACACGATTAAAAGGGGGGAAAAACAGTGAAAACAAAAGCAGCTGGCAATGTCTCATATAAAAGCCCAGTTTTCAGAATGTAACAGCCTTACCCCGGGTATAAAGGTAAATATATTGTATTTCTGGTTTTTGATAGAGTTTCGGGGATGCTTCTCTTCACACTTTTCAGGACATCCGAGCCACACTGTGCGAGCTTTTAGTTCTCTCTTTCTTTGACAAATATTTACCAGCCAATCACAGCAACTGTATGAAAAAAAGAGACACATTATGAATGCTCTATTCCAAGTCTTTAAACTAATCGTACACATTTAGAGCCAATACGGATTGTTTCTGTGTATATGCACCAGACACTGACAGCGTATCTAAAGCTAATCTGTAGGGTTGTCTTAAAGTAAGTTTTATGGATATGAAGGTGTGACATAAAACACTGAGAGAAACTCATATGAGCAAGTATATGACGACTTTTAGAATCTCAAGGAAACTACCTTCCCTGTTTAGACCAAACAGGGTCGAAACAAAACATAAAACAAAAAACAAAAACAGAAAACCACACTGACATTCTGAAGTAGTCAATGCTTTACTACGCTGAGAAAAAGACAGTCTGTTGTTCATAATTCTCAACACACCGCTCAGGAATTTGATGATAGAGGTCCTCAGACATCAATTCATCCCAAATGTGACCTGCCCTCTCTTCTTTGAGGGGACCACTTTTTTCCTTTCTAAAAAGGCGACTTTTCTAGTAGCATTAATACAAAGTTAAGACTTACGGCTCAATTCAGTATTTAGAAAGGGTACTGATGCTCTGTGGGATGTTCTAGTGACAGTGACAGCTCCACTGCATTGTCATGCAGCCATGCTCATCTGTGCAGTAAACATGTTAGATCTGTCCTTGCTCTAACAGCACCAGGGCTCCAGGAGCACAAATACTTCTACTCCCTGGACGTCCAAACCACCATTTTTGGATAGAGAGAATAAAGTTTTCTCAAAATACTTAAGAAAATGATGAAAAGGCATCAGAGCCATCTCAACTGAGCGTAACATAATCATGAATTTAAAATCTGATCTAGGGGCGCCTGGGTGGCGCAGTCGGTTAAGCGTCCGACTTCAGCCAGGTCACGATCTCGCGGTCCGCGAGTTCGAGCCCCGCGTCGGGCTCTGGGCTGATGGCTCAGAGCCTGGAGCCTGTTTCCGATTCTGTGTCTCCCTCTCTCTCTCTGACCCTCCCCCGTTCATGCTCTGTCTCTCTCTGTCCCAAAAATAAATAAATGTTGAAAAAAAAAAAAATTAAAAAAAAAAATAAATAAATAAAATCTGATCTAATTCAGATCCCCACAACGCTGAGGAAGCCTGGGAACAGTCTTCCAGGTACGCTCCAGGCTGGACAGGCAGGCCGGCAGCAGAAGGCGCAAATGCCGAACTCCCCTCGGTGACAGAGTAAGCTCAAAAGGTCACAGTAATTTTGCGTGACGATGACAGTCTTCTAGGCGTCATTACAAAATGAGGCTGATGCGTCTGGACTTGTACCTTGAAGTCACCGCCTAACTTCCACGGTGGGGCACTAGCCGACACGACCCTCCGGAAATCGCCTGCCTTGCAAGTGATCAAAACGCAGACACGGCGCTTCACGTCCCAGCCGGGGAGCATCCCATGTGAGCGTACAGATGTGTGCAGGCGTCTCTACGGACGGTCCGCCTACTTGCCAGCTGTGCCCAGAAGATCTTCGGTCTGGAAGGGCAGGGCTTTGCCCTCGGAAGCCCCCTGGCCTTCGGTCGTGGGCACCCGGCCACAGCACCGGGAGCACTGTCACTGTGAGTGAGCTCTCCCACGATGGGAATGCATGCGGCGGGTCAGCTCTGACACACCCCCAGCGACCCTCCTGCTTCAACTTTTAAGAACAGACAGCATCTTCACATATCAAGTATACTTTTAAGTCCCCGACTGCTATAAATCAGGATGTTATTAAAGTGATTTAAGGCTGTCTAAGTATTCCCATGTTTACTGCTTTCTTTGGGGGGGGG